TTAGTTGCCTCGTGTGAGCACAGAAGAGCTCAGTAACAGCTCCAAGAGGCATACAGGGATTTAGAGGTCATAGATGCTGTGGTGGGTCTGAGTCAGAGATGCGGCTGAAGCAAGCGCTAGACTTGATAGGCAGCAATTATGCACTCTGAACAGAAAGACTCTTTCCACATGTGTGCTGTAAGTCTGTTATCTCCCTTTACCTATCTGAACTGTGTTTGTGATGGGTATTTCTGATACGTAGTCTTGTACAAAGTCTGATAAAGGACTTCGTGAGCTCAGCATTGCACACAGACTCTTAACCAAGAGATTCGCAGAAATGCTTCAGTTCTGTTCTGTCTGTGTCTTGTTTCATAAATCCATCTGCACTCTGACAGTATCACACAGAGACCAATGTCTCGGCAAGACATTTCCTTCAACTCTTTTGTATGACAACTAAGTCCGTGTAAGAAAAGGCATCACACAAGTAATTTTCAACTGTTTCTGCCAACATCAATAAATCATAATCAACAGAACTTGTCCTCACTTCTGTCCTTATTGAAAAAAATGTGACACAGTAATTCCTGGTTGGTTGGTTCTGTTTCATCTGACAGTGTAGAAAAACACAGGGCTTTGTCCTACCTCTGCCTCATTTTTAAACATTAAATCTTGACCTCTGCTTACTGCCTACTTTCCCAGCTTTGCTTTTGTTAAGCTGCAAACATCTTTCTTTCATAACAATTTACATATGTAATTACTACAAGTACTTCAGGAATTGTTTGCTAAAATGCTCTATGTCAATACTAATTATCAGTAATTAAAAATCCACAGCTATTAGGAAGATACTGATAGGGAGAAAATATTGCTTAGGAAGCAACTAACAATTGTGTAAGCAAAATTAAACATCAAATGACTTTCTAGCTTTGTAATTATATAATGTGACTCATCATCTGCTACATAAATGAAAGTGCAAATGGGAGAAAGGTGTCCCACACATGCGCATGCACACACACACACCAGCTTGTTTACCGTGTGTCTTCAATATTGCAAACTCATTTCATGTTGGGAGCTAACAACATTTAGAGGTCTCATGTTACATTTGCAGAAACTTAAAAGCTACTTTGAATATTTCATGTGGAAAGCCAAAATCTGATGTTTCCAGGCTGATCATACAGAATCATAGAATGGTTTGGGTTGGAAAGGACCTTAAAATCATCTAGTTCCAGCCCTTCTGCCATGGACAGGGATGCCTTACACTAGACCATGCTGCCCAAGGCTCTGTCCAACTCTGTCAAGGATGGAGCATTTACCACTTCTTTAGGCAAACTGTTCCAGTGCCTCACCACCCTCAAAGTAAAGAATTTCTTCCTTATATCTAACCTGAGCTTTCCCTGTTTAAGTTTAAACCTATTACCCCTTGTGCTATTGCTACAGTCTCTGATGAAGAGTCCCTCTTCAGCATCTTTATAGGCCCCCTTCAGATAGGGGAAGGCTGTTAGGAGGTCTCCATGCAACCTTCTCTTTTCCAGGCTGAACAGCCCCAGCTTTCTCAGCCTGTCTTCATACAGGAGGTGCTTGAGCTCCCTTATCATCCTTGTGGCCCTCCTCTTGATTTGCTCCAACAGCTCCATGTCCTTCTTATGTTGAGGACACCAGAACTGTGCACAGTACTCCAAGTGGGGTCTCACAAGAGACCCCACTTAACTCTCAAATGCAAACTTAACTCTTCAGGTCTTAAAAGGCACTGGGTTTCTTTCTTTTGCTAAGTAAGCAAGAAAGTCTCCCATGTAAAGATCAGAAATATAATGCATGAACGAATGACATCAGTTTCTTATTTGTACAGAATCTGTTTTCAGCCTCTTTGATGTACTTTTTAACTGCTAATGAATGTTTTGTTGTTAACTGTGGTTCAGCATCCACGTACTTAAAGTGGAACTTTGGTCCATCTACAGATGTCAAAGGGCACTTTGCCACTGTTGTAAGTGGAATTATATTTTCATTTTAGTGATTTATTACAGATTTCAGTAGGCTTCGAATCAACCTAGTCCATCTAAATTAATCAACTTTCTGAGCCTGGTGGGAAAAGTAAACAGGCAATCTATGTGCATTATACAGCAATCCCAAAGTCTGTACTCTGCTGTACCTGCTCCTGATGGTAGGAGAGAAAATCCATTAAGCAAGCAGACAGGAAAAGGGGGCAGCAATTTTACAAGAGGCAGATTTCTGCTCTCAGAGCACAGCCTCCATCTCACTAAAACCTGCCATTGTAACAGGGTAGCGTGAATGCGCCTGGAGCACAATGCCTCTGCTGGTGTTGACCCTTGACAAGAAAACGGTGTGGCTTTGAAAAAGGCTCTCTTCCCATAATAATGCTCAGCCTTGGCACGCTCAGCGCCTGCAGCCGCATTGTCAACAGGAGCGAAAAGCTGCTGGTCACACGAATGCAGCCAGGCTGAGCTGCCTCCAGAATTCATTTTTCAAATATGTTTTTATTCACTTCTGTGGAGTTTATTTTTCCCCTTTCTGGCTCCACCATTTTAGGCTAAGATTCAATACAGGGAAACGCTTCAATTATCTCTGGATCAGGCCCTCAGATTGCATTGTGACTGAGGTTTTGAAAATTGCTGTTATCAAAACTATTAGCTGACTTGCCTGTGCTATTTTGAGCTGGACTGAAGAGGGCTTGATGGGATACTGAATCACTCATAAACCACAAATCAGGCAAGAATAACAGGAGTTTCACTGTTGGGTTTTGACTTTCAGCTTCTACAAGGGTTTCTCAGCAAACAGCCATCCTGTCCCCTCTTGGTGAGCTGCCAGACCCAAACTCCTCTGAGCCTTAGGCTAAGGTGCGGCAGAAAAGGGCAGTTGTTTCTGCAAAGTCTAACCTTAACTTGGCTTGGTTTGCTCCTGGCAACAGGACACTACCAGCCTGGTGCTGGTGGGGGATTCCTTCCTGGGATGTGAGGCTTGCAACACACCAGCTCAGGGGCAGCTCCAGTAAAACCATCACTAGTCCATCTGCTACCTACAAGTGATGAGAGCCAAAAGAAAAAGAGTCCAACCTCTGCAGCTCTGCATTCACTTCTGCATATCTCTTGCCTTGGGCCCAGCCTGCCTCTAAAGGTACACACCAAGCATGGGAACTTCCTGATATCTGGAAAAGCTTAACTGTTATGCAGCTCCCTAAACCAGTTTTCTAGTAGTAGTACTGGCATCACCATATCTGCCAGTAAGTAATGTTTTGGATCGATATTTTGTTAATTTACAGCATTTCCTCTGTCTTAACTCATAATTTTCATTCTTCCCCTCCTACTTTTCACTTCTTTCTTTTTCCCTCTTTTGCTGCACCAAAGCATGAAATCATTGTTTGTCAAAAGATAATCTGCTTGCAGGTGTGCTTAGTTGTAACGAATAATGTTTTCTTCAAATGCCTTTCTCTTAGTTGAGAAGTCACATCCTCCTCTTGCTCTCCAACTCATAGGCTAAAACCCCAGCTAAAACACAAGACAGAGGAGATGAGTTCAAAGCTCTCTTCCATCTGAGCATTTCAGAACCTCTTGTGTCCAGTTACAGGTGAGCCACCAAGATGAGGGTAATTTGAGGAAGAGCTTTTTTTATCACCCTTATTGAAGCAATTTGACTTTTCAAGAGTGAGATGAAAGTGGGTCATTGTAATGGTTTCTGAAAAATCACCACTGAGCTCTGCATCCATCGCTCAGGGCCGAAGAATGGTGGAGTACACAGAAAGGAAGTGTGTCTGCGTGGGAATTAGTAAGCTATCAAAGTTTTACAGTGGCATGTACCACAAGCAGTACAGGAACTGTAACTATATTTGGTGAAATATTATCACCAAAGCAGCCTTCAGTAAGTGGTTAGGTCCAGAGGGGACTGACTGCCTGTCAGCAAGCCAGATACCAGCAAGCCCAGGGAGAAAGTTTCTCCTCCAGGACCATATGTGCGGCCACCCGCTCTTGGCAGGGCAGAACATAGACCCAAACTCCAGGTGCTCTTCCCTCCCACCCACTTTCCTTCACCTCATCCCTTCAGGTCATTCAGACATTTTCACAGCCTTACTCCCACTCACTTCTATTTTTTCTTTGTTTATTTCTATATACTTCTTTTTATATTTACTTCTATCTTTTTTTTTTTTCTCTAATGTGAAAAGAAAACAGGTTTCCTCAACAACTGCTGGTAGTCCTCTGATCAGCTTGAACTGGGATGCCAAAGTGCATCACTTACAGTAGTGGGAAGATCAAAAAAACACCCCAAAATGTTAACTATTTATTCTAAGGCTGTCATTCAGTTTTCTAAAGATTGCTAAAATTTAGCTATTTAGCTGGAACACAGCAAAACCAGGTTTTCAGACAAGATTGTCCTTCTTTCCAGCTTCTCACTGTACTATTAGTTCATCCTTTCCTATGGCTTCAGATCACCTGTGTCCAGGTCTGCCAGAGACTAGCAAATCCCAGTAAGCAAGAGGACAAAATTAATGAAACTGTTTTGAGTCTGATTTTATATTCGGCTCAGGACTAGCTTCCCCTTTTTGGCAAGAAGAGGGAGGGTGTGTATGTTTGTTTATTGTGTGTTTAGCTTGCAGTGGTTCCATTGGTGGTGGGGATTGTGAATGTGCTTGCTCATTCCTCATGGTTTCATTGTAGAAGACAAATACAGTTGATTTAGAAGGAAAGAGTCTTGCCAAAGACAGTAGCAATGGCTTTGTTCTAAGTAAATTTAATGCAATATGCTTTGGCTAACAGCTGCAGCTTTGGAAAGGAGCAATTCACCTTCTCCCAAAAATAACCATGAGAAGCTAAATAACTGTCTGAGAAGCTAGTTTATGCACAGAAAGATTCAAAAGCCTGCAGTGCTAGCTAATATAATCAAACAGCTATCAAAAATCCTGGCCAGCTGAGCTAGTGAGTCCCAGGAGGGTCAAGAAAAAAGGGAGAGAAATAAAAATGCCTAAGGACAATTCTCTGTGTAGATTGAATATATGCTCTTTTATTCCGGGAAAGATAAGATGGAATAAAAGTGTGAAAGACCAACAGCTTTATGTATTAAAATACTTAAAGAAATAGTCATTATGGCATTAGTCCAGGACATATTATTTCATCTAACAGAGGTTAATACATTTCATAGATACTAGGGCCAGAAAAGGCTATTAGGATCACCTAGTCTATATTTAATATAACTCAGGTTCAGTAATAGATGCAGGGACCTGACAGGCAGACTGACAGACAGCAAAGTGTAAGGGCATTCCCAAGGTCCTTAAGAGAAAGGGGAGAGAGCCAGACACAATCTGTCAACCAATTCTCTAACAGAGGCAAGTGAACTTTGTCTGGAGACAAGACATTGTCTTACGATGAGGTCCAACTGCTTCACTGAAGTAGCAAGGTCTGTTCTGCAAGACTCTCCCAACCCTGTTGTGGTATGGACCAGAAGGGTCACCTTCCCTCACATTCAACAGCCACGGTTTGCTATGGGTGCACAGCACCTTGTCAGATCTCAGCTTTCCTCTTGCAACATGCAGGGGTCTCCTGCCCTCTCTCCCACTCAGCTACAGGTGGCTTTTGCTGAGTTACTGCAGAGAAAAGCCCATGGCTGCCTTGGGCTGGCTGCTGTCATTGTTCCATGCAAAACATGCAATTTCTTCTCCCAGTCCACCTCTCCAGCCAGCTGGCTGTGGGGGACGGGAGAGCAGCTGGGTTGGCTCTTTTCACAGCTCTTTCAAGCAGCCACATGACAACCAAGTGTGATAGCGCTGGTGGGTGGTCTGGCTGCAACCTGTGGCTTCTCACAAGGAGCATGGAGCAAGTTAAGTGCTTCAAAAGGCGGGTGTGTAGGAAGCTGCCTCAGATGCTACCCACTGCAGAGATGGGTAGATAGGTTGTAAGCTCTTCTCTCCCCTGAGCTCCAGCACTTTGCCTGGGACTGAAGAGACATACCGGGTATTTTTATTTCCACACCAAACTTAAGATGTTCACCACAGGCTTAAACAGAGGAGTGTGAACATCTTTCGAATTTACTTTTTGGGTTGTTTGTTTTCTAAACCTGCCCCTGTTTTGGAAGAAAAGAAGAAGGCTTTTAAAAAAAAGTAGTGGCTTGGAAATTTGCCCTAGTTTGTAAGTGGAAAAAAGTAAATACATAAATAATAAGAATCACATTTATTTTCACCACAAAAGACGCTTCACCATTTCCACACACATACCCCACCAAATCACTGCACTTACTGTAAAGGCTTCTCTTTTTCCAAGAGAGACAAAGGGTTTCTTTGAAAAGCTTTTGTTCCATGCTGGCATACTGGGCTGTAAAACCTGGGCCCAGCCCTGAGCTGCAGTTCCTGCTGGTGTCTGTTATCCTTTTTCTCCTTTGGCCTTGGGGCAACACAGAAAGAGCAAAGCAGAGAGTGAGGCCCCTTCTGAGCCTTATGTGCTTGCAGCTCACCCCTGAAAGAGAGCTCAGGTGACTTTGTTCTCCAGCTTCATTTGTATGCCATGGATCTAAACACCAATCATTCCTATTGATTTCATTATGAATTTGCCATGTGGAACAGCAGCCTTGTAGCTATAAGCAGAAAAAAAAACACTCCCACCAAAATAACAACAGTAAAAAGGAAACCCAGAACTTTCCTTTGCATTAGATGAACATCTTGGCATGTTAAAAATCACCCTTGAGCACCTCCCACTGAAAATTAAATGAAAGCCTCAGTTTTGTCATGGAAGCTGAAAATGTTATTGTTTGTGGGCATTCTTGATGTTACAATATATCTCATTTCAAATCATAACAGATGAGTGTTCTCCAAATTGTTGGTTCAAATGAGATAATACTCCATCATATTTCTCTGTCGAACACAAATCCACATGACTAGCACAATATAAATACAATCACTGGCTGGTATAAAAGCTTCAAATACTATTTTAAATCCTGCAAGTATTGATGGTGCTCAAAGTGACAGCGCAATGCTCTGTCAGTTCCCACTACCAATCTCATTAGGGAAGTAAACAGCTCTATCTTATTTTATCCTGTTCTATACATGATTGTTGTGGTTTAAACCCTAGCCAGACAGCTTGTTCACTCACTCCCAGTGAGTGGTGCTGGGCTGAGAGCAATCGAGGCCCCCCCCCCGGGGCTCTCTCCTTCCCTGCTCTTGGAGGAACGGGGAGGAGGATCGAAAGAGTGAAACTCCCACGGGTTGAGACAAGAACAGTCCAACAACCAATGTACAACACAAATCACCACCACTACCACCACCAACAACAATAAGAGAAAATAACAAGGGAAGAGAATACAATACCACCGGCCAAGAAATGAGTACCACCCGGAAGCCCATGTCCTTCCGGGTAACTCCCAGTTACATCCTGGGCATGATGTGCTGTGGTATGGAATACCTCTTTGGCTAGCCTGGGTCAGGTGTCCTGTCTCTGCTTCCTCCCGGCTTCCACTCCTCCCTGGCAGAGCATGAGGCTCACAAAGTCCTTGACCAAACCAAAACATCATTGTTATCAGCTCTCTTCCCAAGCCGAAAGTCAAAACACTGTACTGCACCAGCTACCAAGAAGGAGAAAAATGACTGCTACTGCTGAACCCAGGACAATGATGCACTAAAAAAGGACTTAAAAATTCCAGTAAATGAAAATATATGGTACAATGAACAGTTAAAAATGTCAATTGAATTAGTTGCTGTGTGATATCTTTTCAGCATTCAGTGTGAACACAGATGCTGCCTGTGGTTTATAGAGGTTTGTGCACAAGGAATGCGAAGTGGAACAAATAAGATTTGAATTTTTTTTTATAGCATTACATTGCAGATAGTTTTTTCTTTTTTTAATTAGCTCCTATTTCCACACCTTTGGCAACTGAATAATTCAGAGAAACTTGTCTTTGTTGTTGCTGTTGCAGTGGCTTCTTTCACAGAGAAGTAGCTCTTACAAATGGCAGGCAGCTTATTTATCATTTAGTTTAGAAATGACCCAACAATTAAACAATTAAAGTCACAGGGAGTGTGCTATGGTCTGCTCAGGGTCTTAAACCCAAACTAGCTGCCAGATGTGTGGTGACAAATTTATCCCAAGCCCTAACTGATGCCAGGACTGCTAAAGTTTGCTTCCCTTTCCATGAGATTTCCTACATGCTCCACCAAGTGGAGAAGCCTGAAGAAGTCAGTTTGGTGGAGCAGGGCTCAGGGAGCAGGTTCCTCACCAGTCGCTCAGCTCATCTAAGGGGGGACTGGAGAGACTCAGTGCCAGCGCAGCACTTCATCAACCTGTTGCTGCCTCCTGGCCTAATGTTACACCCTTAGCAATAAAACACAAGCTGGATATAAAATAGACACGAAGCCCATCACTCTCAGGACTTCAAAGCAACAGGCAATATTTTATATCAAAATAAACAAACAAATGCATGTAGACATAAGTGATGTTTATGCAGGAAGGGAATAGTCCCACCAGGTCTATTGCTAGAGAGCACAGCTTTGCACAAGTACTTTGTTGAAAAACTCCAGGGACAAGGTGTCGTATAAGGATTCCCTCGGGCTCCAAGCCTCCCTCTTGCTTCACAATGTGTGGGCAGGATACAGCTGTTCAGCTCCACTGCGTGCTCTTCTCATCCAAACTGTTCACATAATGCAAAAATTACATCCCTCAAGGCACTATGGAAATTCACATCCTAATACAGTTTCAAATGCCTATTTATTTCACAGCCCAGTGAAATATTATATCTGCTCCAGAATCCACTGTTTCAAACGATACTGCAGTGCCTCAATTAAGTCTGTGGGATTTCTTTGGTACCTAAAAAGGACAAGGAATTTCTTACCCTTTGCAGAATAACGAAAATAAGTATTTATTTTAAAAAAAAAAAAAAAAAGTCAGTGACATTTCCCCCCCCCCGCCCCATTCTTTCAAGGCACATTCAAACTTCAGGAAACTTGTGAATTACATAAAAGGTCATTCTGGGGGCTCAGCAGAAAGGACTATTTTAGGTTAAGTATTGCTCTATAGCCTGCTCACCTACTCCACCTGAGTACTCCCAATTCACAGGAGAAACAAAAAGGATTTCTGCTGCTATACGTCATACAAATGCAACATGATATGAAATGTTTATAGATGGACTTGAGAAATTCCTAACTCAATCTTTCAGCACTGACATTAGTTTGAAAAGTGGCCCTTATGTTTTCAGCATCCATTTCAAGGCTGGGAAGCAAGAACAGAATAATGAGCTCAGCTCAGCTCAGGGGAACTGGGGAACCTCTTTCCAACATCAGCCCTGACTAACCAGGATCCTTGTGTTGCCCCGGGGAGCCATACAAGGCCACGTCCACAAATGAAAGGGCTTACACACTCTCCCACTGAATACAGATCCTGGCCTCACCACCACACTGCATCAGGGAGGGTTTGCAGTAAAAAATCATTGTTTACTGTCATGTGCAATCTGTCTGTCTCTTTTGCTCACGTCCCTCAAATCTGCACTTCAGAAATGTTCATATGTGTCCTTTAGCTCAGTTGAAGGAGAAAAAGGCATTTGCCAGGTTATGCAATGGGAAGTATGGTAAAAACTCTGATTACAAACCCAAGCTGTGTGAAATGGTCAACAGAGAGCCCTGGAACAGGCAGCCTGTATTAAGCCCCAGATTCAATTCAAGCCATCAGAAAAGAAAAAAAAAAAAATGAAAGAGGATAATTGACATTTGGCAGCATCTGCCTTTTCAGGTACTGCCAAAATATTAGGCTTTCTCATCTGTTTTCCTCATTGGTTTTGCTTTGTTTTGTTTGGTTTTTTTTTTTTTGGGGGGGGGGTGATTTAAATCCTACAGTTGCAATTGATCTAACATGCCAAAGGTCCTTCCTGATAATTAGTGATTTTCTTGATCTCCTTTTTTTTATATGCCCTGTCCTCAGATGCCCATTGTCCCTCTAAATCTCTCTGCATCCCCTAAATCTTGATTAGATCTTGTAGGTTCTGTTTCTGTATTGCTTTCACTGCTGTAGGCTTTGTTTGCACTCCAGGTCTGTCATTCCACCAGGATCCAACTGTAGTTCAAAGATGCTCTTCTGTTCTTTGCCATAGGCTGTTCACCTAAACTACCCTTTTACAACAGTTGTAGCTGCTGTCCCAGTCGTCTGTGAACTGCTGTTCACCTCAGCATTCATCAAGAGGTACTAATAGCAAAGAGTCAGTATGAAACATATAATTCTGGATTAAACCTAAGGAAGAAACTTGGGCTTCATGATATAAAGCAGATTCAAGCATTCGGTTCAGGAATGGAATGGAAAAATCTAATTTACAATTTTACACTATATCAACACATTATGGAAGAAGGACCTAACCCAGACCTGAGGTTTGGATGTCTCTGTGATTTAAATCATTAAATCATCCTCCTGTTTAAATGCCCACATCACATATTTAGGGGCACAGGAAACAGCAGGAACATTTCACACTATTGACTGCCTCATGGTTAAGCCATGGCACAGGAGGACAAGACAAAGGAAACCTAAATCCAGGACCTAAGGCTGGGGCAACCAGTTAGAAGAGGGGGGAGCCAACATTCTAGCTGCTGCTTTCTAAAGTTTCTAGAGACTAAGGCCAAGGCAGAAGTCTTCACTCTCCTACATGACCTCACTTGCCCACAGTTGCACTTGGTCTTTCAATCTCAAAATCAGAGATTTTGCTTGCTCTTCAGGTAGCCCTGTAAGCTGTTTCCTACCTGGCTGCAAAGTTTCCTAGCATCAGTATGTTATGCAAAAGATGGTTTTGGACTGTCAGCTCTCTGTAGCAGTGGTAGGTGTGTTTTGAGCATGTTTAGTGGAATTAAGACCCTCAGGGCAGGGGATTTCGAAACAGAGAAGCCTATATTTTTGTAAATCAACCAAGCATAGGTAGAAGGTAAACACCATTCTCTTGGCCAAGATAGCAGTACTCCTACCCTGAAGTATAACAGAATCAACTTATTAAAGACTCTTCAAGAACATTTACACTCTTTTAGGGTATCTCAGATTCTGAGCTGCTTAGGAAGAGATCTGCTTGGTCACTGGTTTTCAGTGAGGATCTAGAAAAGGTCTTCCAGACTACACAGAACAACAGACACGGTAAACACTTGTGAGGAGGGAGGAAAAGGATCTCTTGGCAGAGATCTCCATGGGAAGACTGAATAAAAGGTGGCACATTATGAGGAGAATACTGCTTAAAGCAAACTAAACTAGACACCTGACACAAAACTCGCCTGCCCTGCTGCACGTTACTAGCCACTTACTGGCATTCTAAGATAGGGTTTGACATATGTTTTTCTTCTCTAACCCCCCAGCAAGGAAAGCAGTTTGTCTGCTGGCTGAGAGCCCCTTTGGAAATGCTGGCAGGTTCCCTTTTGACTTCCTTTCCCCGGCGTACCTTGCCCTGTGTTTTTTTGGCAGCAGAAGTGGTGACTTCAAAGGAAGCAGTGGGAATGAACTTTAAAAGGGTGGGCACTCAGTAGCAGCCACATTAGCAGCTGACTGTTTCTGAGAATTTGTCAAAAGAGAGTGGCCTCAGTAGCAAGGAATACATTACCAGGTACAGGGTACTTACAATGCAGAGAGAACAGCAGCCTGTTCTTTATCAGCTGCCAGGCTGGTGACTAGCTTTGGCAGACCAAATCAGGAGTCTTGGGAACAAAAAAGGCAGAATTTTCTGCAGTGTTTAGATCCTGCATTTGCAGACTGTCTTGCTAGAGACAGAAAGAGAAGAGGGAGATTACAGTTGTGATAATTTACATAGCAATGCCAGGTTTAGCGAAGCTGGATTCCAATTCACCTGGGAGAGGGCATTTGGATAGTGCCAGCTGTTAATGGAAGCACACACGGCATAGAGAGGCAATGAATTGTACAGTAGTGACATATACTTTGGAGAGATGGCACAGGAGTATCACAGTGGCAGACTTCTAACAGCTCTGGGTCTTCTGGGCACACCCAGCTTTTCTAAACCCATTCAGTATAGCTTCTAACACAATTATCACAGCCACATTTTCAAGCCAACGTTATGTCAGAAGCACTCAGTATATGGAGCTCTTTGGAAAATTGGCTCCTACTTTTTGGCAGTAATTGAAAGCTGAGCTCTTAGGAAAATGGGAGCTCTAAATGCTTGGATGACATTTCTCAACTTTGCTCACAAATAGGAGAACCTGCCACAAAGGCAATGACATCAGCTATCTTTTAAGTATATCACCATCAGACAGACTATTGTTACATTCGCTCTTCTATTTCATCTTTATGAGAACTATAAGGCAAAGTTAGCAAAAGCAGACTGACAAACCACTTCAGCATTCAGATTCAAATATTCCCTGTTTTAATAGACAGCTGTATCTAAACAGAAACAGTACTGATGTGCATGTAACAGTATGTGCCGTGCATGTCTGTTCCTTTAAATGAAAGGAAACACCAGGCAGTTATCTCCATCATCATTTATTATGTGACATAGGATGAACAATTACATACTGTGCAATAAGTTAAGTGAGGTTTTGATTGCTGCTGCATTTATGGATGGTTTATCCTGACCTTTCATAGCCTTAAAAACTAATAACTGAAGCAAAACGAAGTTTACCAGCTCCTTTCAGAAACTAGCCATGTGAGCACAACCAAATCACAGGCTTTACTAAAGCCTGGACTCCTGAGCTAGTGAGGAACTGAGTCACTTCCCATGTCAGATGGTGATGGACAATGTCTTTTCTTTTTGACCAAATTAGCAAAAAGTGCATAGGGCTTATAGCTAAGGGCAAATCATCACCTTAACCAAATTACACTGAGTTTGCAGCTTTCATTGTCTGCATACTTCATTCATTAAGACAATAACAACTGTTGTGATACCTTGAATGAAGAATCTAAGAAATGTGGTGTATCTAAGAAAAGTTATATAGAAATTATGCTTGATAAATGTCATCTAAAAAGGGAGAGCTCTAGCTTACAGAGATACCAATCCTATGGAAAGATTTTCGTATGCAAAGAGATCTGATTAAGTCCATGTATATGCTACTTACAGAACTATGAACAAAACGTGAAGTCTCAAATTTTCTTCCTCTTCATTATACCACCATGGCTTTTTGGAGAGGTGAATGAGATGACAAGATATGAGAGATGGTATTTAATACAGTTTTCACATTAACATTTTTTTTGCTGGTCCCCTGAAGATCCACAGCTATCACTAGGACCCTAATGCAGAACTTTCTCCATTCCAGAAAACTTGAAATAAGAGCTGCCTCGCCCTCAAGTGTCCTTTGCAAGCCACTGATTTATGGGCTTTCATGTCTCTTGCAATCAAGTGATTCCTTTCAACCTTAATGCATCCAGGAGGCAATCATTTGAAGTAAAAGACTTGAAGAATCACTACCAAGAAGCTAACTCTAATTATAATCTTTTTTTCACTATAGCCATGTTTGTAAACAGACAAATGTAAAGCTGCTCTGTTTCAGCTTATTTCAGACATGAAGGAAACAAGATACTGTCTTAGGTTCTCTCTTCTTAATTTTTCTTTTTCCAAACAGGAAGGCACTTTCTCAAAGCCTGCCTGCAGCAAGCCCTGTCTACCTGTGGTCTACTTCAGAAGAGTGGCTTTTCAAGGCCTCTTGAAGGCTGCCTCATTCCAGGCTTGGTGACAAAATTGCCTACAGCAATACTTAGCCAATTTATTTGCCACCCTCAGCTACAAAGGCAAAGGAGCAGACACGCCTCAGATTAAACTCACCACAGACATTCAGAGAAGTTAATTGTTGTGATCCGACCCAGAAAAGAGAGAGAAAATGCACATATCCGATGAGTCTGCAGGCATCGCTCCTTGCAGCTGCGCAGCTGTCCTTCACACATGAAAGAACCAGGTCTAGCTACTAAACATCTCTTTCAGCTTTTCTTTCTGTACAGCTACATTGAGGTTTCTCCAAACCACACCTCTGCACACCATTACAGCTGCCTCAGCAGTTGTAACTCAACCTGGCTCCATGGATTTCAAACGCCTTTTCCACCCACTGGAGAATCTGTCTGCAAGTTGGAAGTATTTCCCTCTCCTTCTTCCCTGCCTGCAATGCAAACACAAACATATGCATCCTCATATATGGTAAATAGAATGAGTCCAAAAAGTTTTTCTCAGCTCTAGTAGCATTATTATTATTTTTCTTACAAACTAACTCGCAAAGAAAACGTTTGAAAGCTTTCCAATGCAAATGTTCCTGGGGCAAGAGGGATGAATGTAAACAATTAGCTAGAGCTTGATTCAGCAAGAACTTTTAATGTGGAGTCCTAATTAAAAAAAGGGCTCCTCCTTCTCTTCTTTCCCTCCTACAGCTAATGTGTACTGTATACACTTGTGCATTACTGTCAGAAACAACTCATGTCTGTCACGTCACTGAGTATGTAGCAGCTTCTGCAAGGAAATAGAAATGTGCTGGTCTGGCATTTTTGATAATGACTTTGCCCTAGCAAGTCAGTGGAAGATAGCCATTTTCCCTAGTTCATGTAGTTTACTGAGGAACAGGTAAGGCATGCCAGAGGAATATCTGCTGTTTGGCTGTGTGCATGTGAAAACTGCTGGGAAAACCAGAAAGAAAGGATCCTATCTTGTGGTAATTAAGGCAAGGGGAAAAAAAGCGGGGAGATGAAGAAGACGAAACCTTTGGTTCCTGTTTCATAGTTTCTCTGGGCCTTGAAGTGGTTAAATTTAAAAGCGTCTGATATCAGAATCGTACAAGGGCAGCATCTCAGATCAGACAACATCATTACAATGAGAATGATCACAAAATAGGATGCTGGGAAAAGGGGTCTAAAAATAACAAAGGCTTCTGCTTTAACTTGCTAAAAAAAAAGGTAATCACCAGAGTGGGATTTGATGTAGTCAGCTCAGATAGGCCTACCTTTACTCTGAAAAACAGAGAAACTTTCCACTAGAGAAAGTGCAGTTGCGCTGTGTGAGGTGAATTTGCCACAAAGAATTCAGGAGAAGACCACGAACTTTGGCCACTCTATCATCTGTAGCAAATTCAGAACATCTCTGAGCATTTAGTGAGTTCTGCAGGACTCCCTAGTAACTATCCGGGTACAAGCAGATACAGGGCCATTTTCTGAGATTATAGAACTCTAGGAGCCACTATGATCCAATTCTGACACATGTACAGTGTTTAACAGATGGAATCTCTCAGTGCCTTTGCAATATAAACCACCATACGACTGAGGTACTATCTTTTAAATTAATCTCTCCAGCAAAAAGTTAGCAGTGGTGGGCTATTAATATGTTTCAGATAACCATACTATCTGAGCATCTTCTGGGTAAATAAGACTTAATGCAGAGTTTTCAGCTAATTTCATCTCATTCAACTGCCTCTTTTCCTTTTGCAAGGCTTTAAAACTTCTTGGCATCTAGGCTGCTGTTGCAAAAAAAAATGTTGTAGTTAAAGTTTTTTCAATTGTCCTTTCTACTGGATTTGAAAGACACAAAGCTGATGGAGTAAAAAATGCTCATTTGACTAGATACAGTTTTGAAATATATTAATAATCCCCAAGGATACTTGGATGAATCCTAAATTCATATATAGGATTGTTGATGCTACTGTTTTTCTAAATTCTAGATTGATAATGCCCTTCATGAAATGGTTAAATGTAACCATAACTGTAGAAAAGATGCCTTATCAAAGTCTGTTTCCTGTCTTTGATAAGCAACACAGGATCTTCCTATAAAGCATGCACCAAATTTGTAACATACCATAGGCTGACTTTATTAAAGAAAACTATTAATTTCCAAGTAAATGAAAAATATTTTTAATCATTGCCTTTGAACCACTCAGCACATTAACTTGTCCCTCTGAAGTCATTTACTTAAGTGTGCCCTCAGTTTGCTTAATCCATAACTGGTCAATAATATATTAATATTACAGTCTCATTTTGAATCTAAGCATGTCTGAGCCGATTAAACTGTCACCCTGGATTTACTTGCAGGGAAAAATTATCTGCATTCAGAGATAGAGGGAGAAAAGTATTAAAGTGAATCAAGCACTAATGAAATTAATCATAATCATCGTAAGTACTTTCAACTGCTATCACCCAGTGAGAGATGCTGCTACAGGAAAGTCTTCTGGCTCTATTGTTTTTACGGTTGAGCTGTGGAGCATACTTTAGCTTTTGTTTGTTCCAAAGAGACCAATAACACTGTGGTGATCGTTTGGAATCTTTCTTTTTTTTTTTTTTAACTAAGAATCAACCTTAGAGGCAACCTTGAAATACAAGCCACTTAATGCAAAGCTTGTTCTACTGAACCAGTTTAATGTAGGTCAGACCTACTGTAGTTTGTGTTATAATTCAAACTATGAGACTCCATCTCTTGCTGTTTACTTTTATTGCACTGCTCGCGAACCTAGTATGTATCTAATTTACAGGTCCAAGACAGTAGGAAAGAGCAAGTCAGGAGAAAAATGATCCATATTCCTGCAGCATAAAGATATATTTAGATGTACAGAGCCAGATCTTGAGTTGTATAAATCAGAATAGGTACATGGTGCATTAAAGCCAATAAAGCTATGTAGCTTTATATTAGTGCTGTAAGATTATCCTTTACAGCACTCATCTTAATTTATGCAAAAAAATTCTAATCCTTCAATAATAACATTTGAATTAAAAAATGCTCTTTTTTCCCTTCCTAGTGCTGGGGTCTGTAGTGGCAAGACACTAATCTGCATCCTGTTTAA